GGCGTGTCGAGATCGAAGTGATCGAAAATTACATCGATCGGCTCTTCACAGCTATTTTGTATTGATTCCTCAGATTCCTTCAAACGGCATTTTCTGAGCTGGTTCCAATGGTGTTTGTGAGTGTTTTTCGGTCCTTGGACAATATAGACCAGTTCGCCAATTCTTTGTTTTATGGTGCCTACTTCCCAGAATGTTATGTTGTTTTTGTAAGCCTTGAAAAAGACTTTATCGCCAGGATTGAAATATTTCTTATGAGGCGATACGGTTTTTTTTTTTAACTTTGCTAGCCGTGGAATAAGTTTGTTGAAGACAGACTTGATTTTCCTTGCAAATATTGTTTCTGCAGGCGAGCTTCCCATAGGCGTGTTCGGATTAGGGGTTATCCGATACACCTGCAGAAACTGTTACAATGCTCTATCTGTCGGTGTGCCTAGTGCCTTTTTTAAAGCCCTTTTTAGAGTGTCCACGAACCTTTCGGCCTGGCCATTCGACCTAGGGTGGTACTGAGGCGTTGTAATGTAGTCCACCTGATATGACTTGCAGAAGTCTCTAAATTCACTTGATGTGAATTGATTGCCATTATCTGTAACTACACAATCTACCACGCCAAAACGCGCGAATAGCTCGTGTAGAAATCCGATCGTGCAGTTTGTAGTTGATATTTTGCATTGTAGGAACCCAGGCCACTTTGTGTGGCTATCCCCAACAATGAGGTAGAACGTGTTGTCTATAGGCCCTGCAAAATCGATATGAATTCTGTTTTTTACCATGGTTTGCACGTCGTGGTTGGAGCTTTTACTGCAAGCGCGCATCCTTTGCATGATTCTATCATGTCTGCTATGTCCTTGTCCATGTTTGGCCAATAAACATATAGCAGCGCATGAGGCTTTTCGTACGGTTCTTCCCCGGATGTCCCATGAAAATCCCTTTAGGATTTTTTCTTTGTAGGCTGTTTGGAATCACTACGCTGTCATTGTATAGTAGGACATCATCGCAGAGGGAGAAAACTTCAGGCACCTTGGGGTCTTTGTTGCGAATTTTGCTTTTATGGATTGAATGAATTCATCCCTTTTATGTCGGCCAAAGTAACTGGGAGCTCTTATGATACTCGCGATCATGTTTTTGATTTCACAATTTGTCCTTAGAGTAGCAATGATGGAGTCTTCAAAAGACTTCTGTATTTTTTTGAATGAGTCGCGATAAACTGTCTGCATGGCAAATATTTTTGGATGTTAGAACTCTATCTTGAAATTATAGTTTAAGAGAATTGTTCCCAACGAAGTAGTCTATTTGCAGTATAGACTGGCAGACCTTTTTAGAACCAAAAATTGTAATTAGAGGTTTATGGTCTGTCTGCAGTATGAACCGTCTACCATGTAGATATCTGTGAAACTTTGTCACAGCGAATATTAACCCTAGAGCCTCTTTCTCTATTTGGGAATATTGTTTCTCAGCTGGAAGTAGAGATCTTGATGCGTGAGCCACAGATTTTCGCGAACCATCTGGCAGTTTATGGAGAATGCAAGCACCAATGCCGTACGAGCTTGCATCACTTGCAACTATGATGTCGAGACTAGGGTCGTAATGGGTGAGGGAGAGGGCTGAAGTAAGGGTGTTCTTGATCTTCTCGAATGCATCTTGGCATTCCGGGGTCCATGACCATTATCTGGGGCCGGCATGTTTCTGATCGCGTTGGCTCTTTCTGGATCCGGCCGACGACCATCTTTATTTATGATGTGTCATAAATATTTAATCTTGGTAAGAAAAAGTCACACTTTGCCTCCTTAACCTTACAACCGTATTCTTGTATCTTTTCGAATACGTTTATTATATGGTTCCGGTGCTCTGCCGTAGTTTTACTAGTAACCAGTATATCATCCAAATAGTCTGTTGCGTAGTCAAGGTCGCCCAGCATGGCGTCCATGACCTGCTGGAAAATTGCTGGCGCAACCTTTACTCCAAAAGCCAGTCTATTGTATTTGTACAACCCTCTATGGGTGTTTATGCAGAGCAATTTGGGACTTTCTTCATCCACCTCTATCTGAAGGTGTGCTTCCGAGAGGTCAATTTTAGAAAAAAAATTTCCACCATTGAGTTTATTGAAAATTTCTTCAGGGCTTGGGAGAGGATAGTGGTGATCTTGCAAGGCATCGTTTAACCCTGTGGAAAAATCTGCGCATACTCGTATTTGATTGGACTTCTTTTTTACGTAGACCGTAGGTGCTGCCCACTCGCTGAAATCTGTTTTTGACAGAATACCTGCTTGTTCGAGTTTATCTAACGTGATTGTTCGACAGTTTATTTGCTCTAGAGCAGCGAAAGGGACATTACGTTTCTTTTTGAATACCGGTTGTGCACCGTCCTTCAACTTAGCTTTCATTTTAGTACATTTCCCAAGGTCGCCAAAAAAAAAAAAAACTGGGGAAATTGTTGTTTGAGTTCCTTTTTAAGATTTACCAAATTGGACGTTGTACTTTGTATCTTGCGACAAAATGTACTCATTGGGCAATCCCAAAGATTGAATTTTTCTATCCAATCTGTTCCAAATAAGTTAAGTGAAGTTTTCAATACGAAGGCTTTGAGCTTTTTGGTAACTCCATTTAGTGTTACTGTAAGTATTACCTCACCTAAAATGTTAATTTTGCTGTTTTATCCGTTTTTAATAAGGTCGGCTTGTTCAATTTTCGCCAAGTACGCCAGTTAATGGTTGAAAGATCGGAACCCGAGTCCAGCTGGAATTTAATGGACTTATTGAAAATATCCACAGTTACATATTTTCTTAAATTCTTATCGACAATATTGTCAAATTGAGCTTGCCTAATTTTATTTTTTGGGTTTTCTCGTTCTGTTGGCGTACCAGCACGAAGTTAAAGTATGCCCACTTTTATTGCAATTTTTGCAATATTTTTGTTCTTAACTGGACAGAATTTCATCCAATGCCATTTACCACAATGGTAACATGGTCCAAGGCAGTTTCTTTAACCTATTTGAGTTTTGGTAACTGCGTAATTTAGGACATGAGATTTGCCTTTTGTCTTTTGAGGGGAATAGGAGGTAGACTTGCTTCTGATTTTATTAATCTGAGTCACACCTGATTCCTCGATAGTGTTTGAGTCACGCTTTACAGATATTACTCTTTGACAGTCCTCTGCCAGTTTTTGGAGAGTCAATCCTTGTTCGTTCTCAAGCTTGGTCAGTACCCGTCGTCTGACTTCGGCGTCTTCTGCTGATACTAGACCTTGTGCGAAAATTAAGCACTTAAAATCATCGGCAGTCAGTTCGGCTAGTTTAAAATCATTACAGAGCTTATTTACCGATGCTGCAAACGTTAGAAAATCTTGCTGGTTGTCTTTGACTGTGTTCAGGCATTTCCAACGTTTGTGGAACAAGGTTGTGTTAGGCCCGAATAGTTTCGAAAGGAGCTTAATAGTCTCTGAAAAATCCAAGTCAGTCGTTTTCTTGGGTAGTATGAAGTCTACAAACCTACTTTGTTCTGTAGTTCCCAGTTTTCTCAATAGTAGACGTACCTTTCTTTTACTGGGCCATTGTTCACAGTCTACGTTGAAAATATCTTCGTAGCGCCTGTAAAAAACGTCGAACGTTTTGTCGTTTTCTGGTACGTATTCAAAGGTTTCCATTGAATTGTAGATTGTACTCTGGGAGAATATTTTATCTTTTTCAGAGTTTGAGCCTTTTAATGCATTTACTAGTAATTCTTTAAGTTGTTTCTGTTGTAGTTCAGCATTCTGAAGCGTAATTTGTTGGAATTTCATTTGTTGTTTATGTAATTCCCAAATTAGTTGTTGTTGTCTTTCTTCTGATTTTTGTTGCTGATCCAAATTTGCTTTTAGCATTTGGGCAACTGCTTTTTGAAAATCTTTCATATTTAGACAAACAAATATGATAGCGATTTTTTGTTGCTTTGAAACCCGTGTACCAAGGGGAGGGACACAAAAAAAAAATCTTGATAGGTTTTTTTCTTTTTTTTTTCTTTTACACAAAAAAAATATGGACAGACAATTAGTTAAACTAAACTAATTATGTGTTTAGCTTTTTTGAGATTCCGTGGTTCCGTTAATTTTAACCTAATTGTATAAATTTTCACCACACTTATGTATTTTTTTATAGAGGTACAAAAAGAGAAAACTCACCTCAGTGAATTTGAGGGGAGAATAATTTTATACACGAGTTCAACTCAGTTACATAAAAAAAATTTTAGATAGTTTTTTTTTTCGAAAACTTGAGTACAATGGTAGTACTTCGCTCTAGTATTGCCAGTTTGTTTTATGAACAACTGTTTTTTCTGTGTGTGGGTGTGTAAGAATTCGTTCTTGTTATTTGGACAGACTTTAATATCTCGTAGATGTCGAAACACTGCTCGTCACTGATGTTTGGTATTGGAATATATGTAGACGATGGGTGTTGCGTTTAAATCGCTAATGTAGTAATACCAGCTTAATTTCTCGTTCAACACTGCTGTGGGAACGCGTGGAGTTTCTGTGTATTTTTCGAGTACTCTGTCGCTATTGATATGGTGAGAATGAAATTCTCGAATCTTTCTGTCGCCACTGATGTGGCAAGGTATTGCGGTTTTCGACGTGAATACGTTTCTCGAATTCTTCGTCGACTCAGATGTGGAACTGGTAAGGTATTGAGGTTTCGCCGTGAGAGCGTTTTTCGAATTCTCGTCGCCACTGATCTGGGGGCCAAAGTTGGGACCACAGAAGGAAAACACGGAACACGGATTAGATGTCAGAAAGATATATTAACAAAACAGGTTACAGAGATAGTGTAAGCGGAGCTTACTATATGTTACTGTCCAATACTGGTAGTCGTACGCGGCTCTCACTGTCTCTTTGTTTCTCTCTAGAGTGTTGTGTCGCATACTTAATATAGACCTGGAAGAGTCTATTGTGTAGGTAGTTCCGGTCTCACAATAGATAGATAGATAGATAGATAGACACGATCAGATAGATAAATAGGTATGAACGGAGTGTGATTTAGATAGATAGATAGATATGAAGAGACTCAGATAGATAGATAGATAGATAGATAGATAGATAGATAGATAGATATGAAAAGACCGAGATAAAAAGATAGATAGATAGATGTGAATAGACTGACATGAGAGAGACAGTTACGAATTGACATAGATAGATAGTCAGATAGATTGATATGAAAAGACTGGGATAGATAGATAGATAGATAGATCCACCCAATAAAAAAAAGTGTGAATTCTCTTAAAACCATCAACTTAACTTAAAAATAGAGTAAATCCAATATTTTCCGTAATTTATTCTTAGTATCGCTTGAGAATGAAACACAAATTAAACATTTTAAGATTTGAGTTGGTTTCGAAACAGTAATTTCTGTGTTGCGATGGAGACATATTTGTTTAAAAAAATAATTATAATCTTATACCCTACTTTGTATCGGGAACTGTTCTTTTTTAAAAAAGAATAATTGCTAAAAAACTCTGGATTATAAATCATACTGTTCTTACCTATCATTTGAATATATATATATATATATATATATATATATATATATATATATATATAGAGAGAGAGAGAGAGAGAGATAGAGATAGATATGCACGACTGTGGGATAGATAGATATAAACAAACATAGATAGATACATAGACAGGTACATGCGAACAATCTCTGAGATCGATCGATTGATCGATCGATCGATAGATAGATAGATAGACACGATCAGATAGATAAATAGATACGAACGGAGTGTGATTTAGATAGATAGATAGATAGATAGATAGATAGATAGATAGATAGATAGATAGATAGATATGTGAGAGAGAGAGATGCAAACAAATAGATACATAGAAAGATACATGCGAACAATCTTTGAGATAGATAAATAGATATGAAAAGGTTCAGAATATAGTTAGATATATATAGATAGATAGATAGATAGATAGATAGATAGATAGATAGATAGATATGAATAGGTTCAGATAGATAGATAGATAGATAGATATGAACGGAGTGTTTTAGATAGATAGATAGATAGATAGATAGATAGATAGATATGGGCAGTCTGTGAAAAATAAAAAGATTCTTGAGGTAGAAAATGTAACTACTAGAAATCGGTGCTTGGCCCGACCCACCAGACAAGGGGGAAGGAAAAAAAGACGCATTTACTTATTACTTAATTAATCTGTTGCGACACTCAAACATGTGACAGTCGTTGAGAATTAAAGCCGACGCCTCCAAAGTCCAACCTGCAGGTCACATCCGGTTCACCCAAATAACATATCCGGCCCGCAATACCTAGAATTATCGAACAGAATAACCTATTTTTTTTGTTTTGTTTTGTTAACCTCTTCTGTTCGTCCATTGTTTATTTCCACAGAGAGTTTGCTAACGTTCGACATTTCTTTTGCTTGTGTTGATTACAAAAACAAAAGCACCAAATCACTATTTCTTCGCCTTTTTTCAATTCAGGGCCGCATTTGTAGAATAACTAATACCCTGGGACGCACTTACATTTTTAATAAGTTAAATGAAATTTGAAAATTAAGAAAATGATATAAAAAAAAAACAATAAAAATGTCTCAAAAGCGTTGGTTGGGTTCCAGTGACTTGACTCAATGAGTTCCAAGTTCAATACCTGGCGATTGCAGAGATGAACCAAAAACTTGGAGCGTTGAGTTAAAAAGGGACATAACTGATGTTGAGATAATCGGAAGAGGCATGGCACGTGGAACTAGAACAATATATCCCGGTGGTGGAAATTAAAGGGTTCAGTTTGAAATTCCAATCACCTGAAGAACGACGGAGCGTCCAACGGCTGAAACGTCATGAATATGGCAACGAAGATGAGGACAACAGTCCGAACAAATGTAAATAGTGTAAATAATTACAATGCCTCATCTCAGAAATATAAACAGATCCTGAAGAAGGCCGGAACGTAAAACAGCCGAAACGTCGTGAATATGGCAATAAATATGAGGACAACAGTCTGAACAATGTAAATAGTGTAAATAGTTACAATACCTCATCTCAGAGATATAGATGGATCCTGACGAAGGCCGGAATGTACAACAGCCGAAACATCGTGAATATGGCAATAAAGATGAGGACAAAAGTCCGAACAATGTAAATAGTGTAAATAATTGCAATACCTCATCTCAGAAATATAAAAAAATCCTGAAGAAGGCCGGAATGTACAACAGCCGAAACGTCGTGACTATGGCAATAAAGATGAGGACAAAAGTCCGAACAATGTAGATTGTGTAACAGTTCGAACGATGTAACTAGTGTAAAAAAATTACAATACTCAGAAATAGAGACAGATCCTGAAGAAAGCCGGAACGTACAACAGCCGAAACGTCGTTAATATGGCAATAAAAATGGGGATAACAGTCCGAACAATGTAAATAGTGTAAATAATTACAATACTCAGAAATATAGACAGATACTGAAGTCTCCTGAAATACGCATTTATTTTTAAGACATTAAATTAAGTATATTGAAGTATGCTTATGTGAAAATCTTTGCTTATGTGAAATCTTTGCTTCATGTACGTTTATTTTAAAAGTTAAGCCTTGTATGTGACAAATATAGTTTCGTTTCCTCAAGCATGCACTTAGGATTTGATCTGTGTTCTGCATTTAACTGTACGTTGGGGTGTAATGGATATCGGCTCGGCTTGGTAGAACCGAGTTCGAATCCCAGTCAAGCTCGTTATATTCACGCACAAATACCCTTGGAAAAAGTAAGAATCCATCTCTTTTCTTTTAGCCTTCTTTGGCAACCTTAGAAAGAAATAACAACCTACAACTGGAAAAATCTTCTGCCTCGTCAGTCATATAGCGAAAGATACATGATTGCCCAAGCGTGTATCATGTGTGGCTTAACTGACTGATTTGCATATAATGTCAATAATTGCAGAAAACCCTAATTAACAGAAGTATGATACAGAAAATTGCAAGAAAACATTTAATACTTAATTCCTATGGCAAATCAACAAGTGTCCGACCATCACCGACAGGGTGTGACACAGATTTAGGTCAGTTGTCGTGGGAGGCAGATGCCAGAGGATTATCCATTTTCGGAAATCCGAGGTGACTAACGCAGAATAATAGAGATGGAAAATTTACTCTTAGCGTGGTTTAATGAAAAAGACCATATATAAGTTTTTTCTTTGTCTACTTCAGGGCGCACTTGTTGAATACCTAAACCTCTGGGGTGCACTTTAAATTTGAATGAGGTAAAATTAGTCAAGAAATTTGAAAATAAAGTTATAATTTTAAGACATTACTTTGTATACTATTTACATTGTTCGGACTATCATCTTCATTGCCATATTTATCACAACGTTTCGGCCGATGTAACCTCCGGCCTTCTTCAGGTGGTTGGAATGTCGAACTGAACCCTTTTTTTCGCTCGCTGTGGTAGACTGTTCTAGTTCCATGTGCTATTTGAGAGAAATAAAGTGTTCAGGTCGATATTCCAACCACCTGAAGAAGGCCGGAGCGTACAACGGCCGAAACGTTATAATAAATATGGCGACAAAGATGAGGACAATAGTCCGAATAATGTAAATAATGTACATAATACCTCATCTCAGAAATATAGACAGATACTGAAAGGCCGAAACGTTGGAATAAATATGGCGCCAAAGATGAGGACAATAGTCCGAATAATGTAAATAGTGTACATAATACCTCCTCTCAGAAATATACACAGATACTGAAGGGCCGAAACGTTGTAATAAATATGGCAACAAAGATGAGGACAATAGTCCGAATAATATAAATAATGTACATAATACTTCATCACCGAAATATAGACAGATAATCCGCGTGAAGTGGCCATTCAAGACAACATTCATTTTGCGATTAGATATAAGAAAAATTGAATAAAATAAAAAATTAATCCAGAAATACCATAACATTTCAACTACTGAAGAAAACCAGCACGCCAATGACTGCTAAGCTCCTTCAAAATATCTAAAGCAACAGTCAGTGCTTCTCCATTCTCATCTAACGCTTGATAGACTCTTTCGACATTAACCGTGAAAACATCAGCAGTTGACCTAGAGAAGTGAAAGCCTGCTTGTCTAAAAGAAGACCGTACGCAATTAGTTAATTAGAGCGTCGAGTACTTTGCCAAAAGAGATAGAAGGTAAATAGGCCAATAGTTAGACGTTAGATAGTTAGACCGACCCCCCCCACACACACACACATACATATATATATATATATATATATATATATATATATATATATATAATGGAAGCTTTAATAACAAAAAAGAAAAAAACTTTTAAAATTATTAACTACGAACAAGGCCACAATGTGCTAAACGCATTCGGAAATTAAAACATCCCGACTACACACTAAGACATACACAAAATGCACACACTCAATTAAGCTGAAAAATCGAATCATCCTTGATAATGGCTAAAGGTATAGCCGAAAGCGCTCGGAAATATAAAACATTTGGACAGTTTTTACACACACTTTGTCCAGAAAAGAAAGCTATTGTTTGAACACAAGAAAAATTAAATAAAAATCTTAACCATAGTACCTTGTCTGTTGTTTTAATGAAACATGCATAAACGAAGAATCCCTGCCGAAATATATATATATATATATATATATATATATATATATATATATATATATATATATATATAGAAAACTAAACTAGGTAATCCGTATGGGTAAACCTAAGGAGGATAAAATCCAGAGAGCTCAATGTAAATCCAGACCAAATAATTTAAATAAAAACAGACCACTTTAAGGCTTTTTTTCAAAGAAAATTAGTGACACCTCTCATAACTTTCTTCTCTCTTTTTCTCTCTATGGGTTTTTTCTTCTCTACCTACCGATTCAATATATAATTTATAATTTATAAATATTTTTATATAAATATTTTTTTATAATATATATAAATATTTTTTTACACCTGTTGCCCCACCCCTTACTTCATTTTATGAAAACTCGAATATGTGTATTTTTGTAATTTTTAATTAAATGCAGAAAACTTTGAATAATAGAAATGATCGATTTTTTGTAAATCGAGGAGTGTTTCTACCCAGATTTTAGCTTTGAATTATAATAGACAAAACCCAATTAAACTAAAGCATTATTTAATTAAAAAAGCTTTTAATGGCTTTTATGAATAATATATATTAAGGACATTATTGTCTGAAGCCAACATATTTTTTCGATGAAAATTAATTTTTACAAGAATTGTTTTCTTTTTTTTTTCAATTTTAAATACAAAATGTGATAAAGTTGTTAAATATTTAAAAATTAAGTTTCAATATGAGCATCTCTGGAAATGCTCTGATTAAAAGATCTATTTTTACAGATCATAAATTTGAAAGATTATTACAATCTGCGAAGCGTTTCTATTTTTACAATAATTTTTTAATATACCAAAAAATGTATGGAAAACGTTTCCGGAAAAACTACGGAGGCACAATTCCGAAATAATGTCCCGTGTTCTAAGAGTTGTTTCTCCTGATAGCAAAGATAAGGCCTCATAAATTGCGTTGATTTTGTATCAACTTTTCTGACTGACCGACCATCATCGTCGCATTTAAAAAAAATTTTCATTTTCGTTTTTTTTTTTTTCATATATCACTAAGTATTTTCTTTTCATTTTTTTAAATATAATCAATTTTTTTTCTTTTTCAGTGAGAGACATATTACAGTTATTATTTTTTTTTTTTTTTTTTTAGATTTAATTTTAGGGACGGAAACAGTCCAGGTTTTGGACATTTCTTCGTTAAAAAAGTACCTAAAAAACCAATAAAATATTAGACTTTGGAAGTATTTTAATTTTTAAGAAATACTTTATAGTTAAATAAGCTGGTTCACATAAAATTAAAAAAAAACTGTCACTTCTGTCCTTCCGTCCGATAAATTGTCCTGACGTTAGTTATCGATACATTAACATAAATGTCAATTCCCACTTCCAAAACCAATCACCACGGTTAGACACGCTTCTCTTATTTCTAGCTAAATATTTTCTACTAAAAAATTAAATAATGTTTGTATCAAATTAAATTAAGTACACTTTAAATTTTCTAATTTTCCTAAAATAACTTTTGAAGACAGTATAATTGAATTTTACAAGATTTTAAACAGAGAATTGCACTTTTGTCTACAAAGTTGTCAAAATTGGCTGACATGATCGATTTTATGGCAATTTTGCTGACACAAAAAGATCAAGATTTTTAACTAACTAATTTTTTCCGAAAATCAAAAAAGTAATTTTACTAATATTGATATTATTATTACTAAGTTAACTAAATAACTCTATTATTTTACATTGAACAATGTTTTTTCTTTAAACTACAGAGTATTTCGCTCGCTCGTATACCTACATATATTTACCCATGCGATTAGATAGATAGATAGATAGATAGATAGATAGATAGATAGATAGAAACAAACAGGCTGAGATAGATAGATAGATAGATAGATAGATAGATAGATAGATAGATAGATAGGATGATAGATATGAACAGGATGAGATAGATAGATAGGTAGATAGATAGATAGATAGATAGATAGATAGATAGATAGATATAAACAGGCTGCGATAGATAGATAGATAGATAGATAGATAGATAGATAGATGTGAACAGACTGAGATGTGAACATACTGAGATAGATAGATAGATAGATAGATAGATAGATAGATAGATTCGTTCATATCTGTTCCGTTATTTTTTCAAAAACAAGCGACGCCTGCAAGCACAAATTCCTGGTGCCCGTGTGTCTCAGGCTCTCAGCATTTCAATCTGCCTAGACAACATCCGATTCACGCTCATTAGCCTAATAAATACGTTGAAACAAACCGATATCACATCTCGGTACTTACCTACTTTCTGTCAACCTACAGAGAGAGGATTGGATCAATTTGAAAGGCCAACTTCACAAAATGGGCAAGGAGGGACCAGAAAAATCCATTGTGTTGGATGAGGGTGTCACTCGGAGAAGGACGCTGATTCATTTGAAAAACCTGCAGTACGAATTGAGGGCCGTTGCGATAAAAAAAATAAACCCAGAGAAATAAGATGTACATGAAAAATTAAATGTAACTGATAATGTCTGATGAAATAAATTCGAAAATTATTGCTCCTAATAGCGTCGATCGTAGAATGACGACGTGGGAGTTGCGATGAAAAGTATAATTAGGATCCTTCATGAGATCGCTAAAAACAGAGCAGAGCATGATGAAAAAGACGCCAAACTTGATGAAAACAATATTTTAGCGTCTAAATGTTTATGTCATTATTAAGAGGAAAGATCGATGTATCAGGTCATCCCATAAGTTCTGTCCGAATTTTGAATAAAGAAAACAAGTGACCAAATGTTACATTTAATTACAGATTCAATCAACAATGTATTTTCCCTGATTATCTATGACTTCCTTCCATCTATTAACAAGCTTACTAATTCCATTACTGTAAAATTCTTTTGCCTTCGATTCGAAGAACTCACAAATGTCAGTTTTAACCTCTTCCTGTGTTACAAAAGCTGTTTCTTCCAAATGATTCTGTAAGCTACGAAACAAATGGTCGTCTGAAGGAGCAAAATAGGGAGAATAAGTTGGATGAGGAATTTTCTCCCAACCAATCTCTTCGATCTTTTGTGACGTGATTCTTGCTGTGTGGGGTCGCGTATTGTCCTGATGAAACATCACCACTTTTCGATTCACTAGAGCAGGTCTTTTTTTCTCAAAGCTTGGTTTAAACGCTCTAATTGCTGACAGTATATTTGAGCATTAATTGTTGCATTAGGTGGTAAGAATTCAAAGTGGATTATTCCTTGGCGATCCCACCAGATTGAAAGAAGAACCTTTTGCCCATGAAGTTCCCTTCTTGGTTGTGGCTGGGGTCCTTCCCCTTTACCAAGCCACTGTCCACGACGCTTAACATTTCGATAAAAGATCCATTTTTCGTCGCCAGTCACAAGTCTATCCAAAAAAGGTGAAACAAGTTGGTGAGAATGGAGAGAAGAGCAGATATAAACTCGGGATTTGAAGTTGTTTTCAGACAATTCATGAGGCACCCATTTTCAAAGTTTAGGAACTTTTCCAAGTTGTTGAAGATGACGATGAACAGTTGTATGGTTTGAACTGAGAACCACTGCCAATTCCTCAACTGATAAAGCAGGATTTTCTTCAAGGGCTGCTTCAAGAAGCTTTTCATCAATCTCAACTGGATGTCCGGTTCGATCTTCATCTTCAAGGGTGAAATCTCCACCTCTGAATTTTGAAAACCATCTTCTGCAAGTTCTTTCATTCACACATTCCTCTCCATAATCTGAGTGAATGTTTCTAGCCGCTTCAGCTGCCGACTTTCCTTTCTTGAACTCATAAAGCATTATGTGCCTCAAATGATTCTTGGGTTAGCAGGGTTTAATCAAACAAAATTTAATTTTATTGTTCTCTGAAATAAAATTTGATTAGTTTAAATGCATCTAAACATAAAAAGAATGTTCAGTTCCATTAGACATTATAAAATACTCTTTAAATTTCGTTCATTTTAACAAAAAGTTAAAATTCGGACAGAATTTATGGGATGACCTGATATTTTTTAATTATTTTTTAAAATTTTTCCTTCTTTTTAGAACATTCTAAATTTTGATTAAAAAAACCTTGTTTCTCTTTGTATCACCGCAACTTGTAAAATGACATACATTTTTTTTTTTTTTTTTTTTTGTATGGAGAATCTTGCAAAAATAAGAATAATTGTCGGATTTTAATGAAACTTTCAGAAACTACTCACAAATGATGGAACTTATAATTTTTTTTTTCATATGTATCCCCCCCACCAACTAATTGTACGAAAACTCTATAATTTCAATTTTGGGAAGATTCGTGATTTAGTTAAAAAAAAAAAAAAAAAAAGCACAAGGCTTTGAGGAAACCAAATCATTTTTTTTTTTTTAGTTGGACCACTTCTACCTGAAAATCATCTCTGAATTGTATCATACAAAACTCATTAAAACAAGAATATTATTTAACTTCAAAAACTTTTAATTGCTTTTATTTATTTTAATGAACATGGACAATATTGTCTGGAAGCAAAAAGATATTTTGATGGAAAATGAATTTTTAAAACAATTATTTGTTATTTCTTATATATTTTATTATTTTTACATTAAATATTGTTAATTCTTCTAAAATTAGGGAAAAGTTTGTAGAATTTAACGAATGTTATTATTAAGTAGATATATATTTACAGATTATAATTTCCAAAGCTTCTTACAAACTAATGAACAACAGTATATAAAAAAAAATATAATTTGTGTCAATAATACGACTGCAAATCAAATCTATGGAAGACTGGAAGTATCATGCGTGCAATAAAAAAAAAAACACGTCATGTGGATTGAGTTTCTGTCTAGTATTTAACTTAAATACTGAATTTTTAATACAATTATTTGTTATTTCTTTAATTATAATAGATTTTTACATTTAAGTTGTTAAAATATAAAATTAGTTAAAAGCCGCATTCAGTTTCGTAAATGTCCTTTTGAGATAGATTTATTTTTGCGAAACACGTGTGGAGAAGTTAATTTGATTTTTCAATTTCAACTGAGAAGGTTACCAGTATCATCTTATGAAATTTAAATTTGTATTTTATGTACACTTCTGATAAAATTTCATAAGAAAGGTACGTATAAAATAATTAGATACCTTTCTTATGAAATTTAATCTCACTCTCAACAGTCTTATTTTAATTTCTTTAGAATATATTTTCCATAAAGCATCGTAAACGTAAAGGTGAAAGCTAAGTACAAAAAAGTTAGGGCGCTGAAAATTTTCCCTAAAAATAACGAGGTAAATAATTTGTTTACTTAAATCTAAATAATTTCACTTCTCTCCTTCCGTAGAATAAATTATCCTCAAGTAAGCTATCATGAAAATGTCTTCCGTCACCTGTCAAGAGACGTGAAATGTTATGAGCTGCTTTGATTTATTTTCAAACTACATCTTTTCGGCGCAGAAACTAAGTAATGCTTGTTTCGAAATATTTTAAATAAACATTATAATTTCTGATTTTTTTAACATTAGTTTTGAAAATATTATAATTGATTTTTAAAAGATTTTTAAACTGAGATTTTCATTTTTTTATAAAATGGAAAAAATTGTTGAATTGATTGATTATCTGTCAATTTTGCTGAATAAAAAAGACAAGATTTTAACTAAAAATTGGACGTGCTAGGAACGATTAAAAAAATGTAAAAAAATACTTTAAAAATATTTTGTTCTTTCCTCTTAATAATAACATAAACATTTAGACGATAAAATTTTGTTTTCGTCAAGTTTGGCGTCTTTTTCATCATGCTATGCTCTTTTTTAGCGATTCTAAGTAAAATAAATGAGACGAAAGCTATTCTAGTAAAAAATTTTAAACATAAATTTGAATAATAATCCTTAAATATAATACGTCACACGCACATTATTTGCATTATTTACATTATTTGGAGTGTTATCCTCATCCTCATTGCCATATTCACAACGTTTCGGCTGTTGTATGCCCCAGCCTTCTTCAGTGGCAAACCTATATATGGAATACTTTGAAGAAATGGCATTAGAAACTACACCACTAAAGCCAATCCTATGGCTGAGGTACTCTGGCCACATCAGGAAGAAGTCCAGCTACTTCTGGACCCTGTGAACTCAGTAAGATCATTGATACAGTTCACAATGGAGAGAGAAAATAACAACAAATTCGCCTTCCTGGATGTTCTAATATCTCGAACAGAGCAGGGTTTCAAGACATCCGTACACCGCAAACCAACATTCACTGGATAATATCTCAACTTCAACTCCAACCACAAATACAGTATAAAGAAAGGAATCGTCCGCTGCTTACAATATCGAACAAAAGTTCGATATTGTAAGATCCGAAGATCCTCTATGAAAAAAATAATAAAATTTAAAATACTGTAAAATCTGTCTATATATCTGAGATGAGGTATTAGGATTATTTACATTATTCGGACTGTTATCTTCATCTTCATTGCCATATTCACAACGTTTTGGCCGTTGTACGCTCCGGCCTCCTTCAGGTGACTGGAATTTCAAACAGAACAATTTATTTCGTCCACCGGGGTAGATTGTTCTAGTTCCACGGGTCATGCCTCTTCAGGATGTCTCAGTTATTTCCCTTTAACTCAACTCACCAAGTTTTTTGGTTCACAACTGTTGTGTCCTGGTATTGAACTGACGACTCTTTGACTCTAGCCACTGGATCAAACCAACGTCTTAATCCACTGGGCCAGAGAGCATCACTGGAAAATACGAAAACTTAAGGAATCAGAACATATGCTAGGCTATAAAAATCCCCTAGGCCGACCGAGCATAGACATGAATGCAATATGGGAACCAGTGAGAAGGAGTGTAAATGTATGTGTGTGTGATAAAAATTGTTTTAAATTATACTATATTAATGAGTAATATATATATATATATATATATATATATATATATATATATATATATATATATATATATATATAATATTTAATATAAGAGATTATAATATAAGTATGTTCTCTTATAATAAAATAATAATATATTGCTCTACTTTGTATTGAGCACTTTCTAAAAGTAAATGCGACGAAAAGTGAATTTTACTCAATCTGTTCTTTCTCTCATTTGAATATATATATATATATATATATATATATATATAT